CTCTTCCAAGCGCCACTTCAAACTGCACACTGTACTTCCTTGTTTTTTGAGGCCTGTATCTACAAAAGCCAGGGCCAAGAATTTAGGAGCAGCCTTGGGAGGAAACAGGTCACATAGCAGCTTGGTAGAATTTTCCTCTTTGTGGACTAACAGAGCTCCTTTTCTCTGTTCTCACTGATTATAGAAGACAAATTTAAAAAAAATAAAATAAATCATACCATTCCACTACATAGTCGGGGCTGTTTTTGTGTCATGTTGGTCCCTCAACTTAGCTTTAAGTACTACAGTAATTCCTCATGATGTGTGGTATATAATATTGCCTCATTTGCACAGGCCAGGTCACGCTCTGAGCTCACGCAATTGGATTCAGTGCATCCTGGTTATAAAGTGATTTGCAGAGTGGCTGACAGTGATTGACTGGTACTTTGACTTCAGTTGTCGTCCTTTCTGCTGCATTAAAAAGATACTTTAATGAGGATGCAGTAAGTCTGGAGGAATTTAATCAACACAACGTATATATGATCATCCTGACAGTGTCATAAAGATCTTGGTTAATTGCTCAGACCTATGTTTGACTCCAGCACAATAATGAGGCATTCAGATGAAAGCTGCAGATTTCTTCTAAAACATGACATCCAGGTCTTTTCACGCTGCTGCTGCTTTCACTTGTCTGAACACTCTCACACCAAAACATATGCACACTCTGTCTTTCTTACTCATCTCCTGTTTTCATTTTATTCCTCTGTCTTTTCTCCCCTCCCTGTTTTCTCTCTTGTGCAGACCAGCACCTCTCTGTGTAATTTTTCCTCTCTTTCTGCTCTTCTTCTCTTTCGTTCTGTCCTGCTTTCTCAGACAGTCCTTCTCCCTCCATCTCTCTTTCTGTGGTCTGACCAGCTGGGTGGAAAGAATCACTTGTTTATCTCTCCCGCTGTCCGTCAGGGGCTTTTGCTTTGCCGGCACCGTTGCCTAGCAACTGCAGCAGAAGCCGGCATTGGCTGCTTGTAATGTGTGAGAGAGAGAACGATAGAGAGAGAGAGGGACTCCATGTTGACTCGGCAGACTGAGGACAGACAGACGCATGCCGGCTTCACCGCTCCCTCACCGCCGGAGAGGCTGCCAGCCTTTGTGTGACTCGCAGAGCAGCTACACACACCTTGGCCATGTTCAGCAGAGACACACAAATACAGATTGCAGACTAGACCAAGGCTTACTGATCCCACTGTCTGTCTGCAATTCACCAGCTACCATTCTGCGTTTTCATTAGCGATTAATCCGTTGTTTGTTTATTTGATTAACCCGTTCAGGGTTCCCCCCCCCCCAATTTATCTGCCTCTCACGCTTAAAGTATGCATCTGTTACGCATTTTATTTCTGAGAACGACCAGAGCATTTCACAAAAGGAAAATATTTCATGTGACTAACTGCATGCAAGATTTATGATTATGCACCCAGAAAAATGCAGTTGCAAAATGCGTTTTATGAAAGATGTGAAGTATGACAACTCATTACAGCACAGTAATCCGTGAAATCTGTGAGGTTTGACTTGCTTCTGACGAATGCCTTCAGAAATTTTGTACACAGATATATGCTTCATCTCCTATTCACATCGACTGAAGCCCAGACAACAGACAAAACCTCTGGCAGACTCTGGTTGATTCACTGGTTACTGTTGACCTTTGTTGAAAGCTGATGTGTGTGACTTTTACATATATTAATCCCAAGCAAAATTCTTGAAACAAGGGGAGACCTTTTCCTGGACTGATCAGACCTCAGTTACATCGAAGCCCATGCCAAACAAATTCACAGTGCTGATTAAGCCTATCAGTGGGAGTGAAATCTCTCTGTATTTCTGTATATCACTTGAGTAAATGCGAAATACAACAAGATTTACAGTGTTACATACTGCAGTATTGATCTGTCCAGCCACACCTGACTATCTGTGATTGGCTTATTTCTGCTGATCAATATATTGGCTCGATCTCGAAAAGGACTCAACAAAACGTGTACATGAGGTTGAAATCGCCATTAGGTTTGCAGCAAAAGATTTTCTGATGATTATTGTATTTATTAACTTCAGAAAACAGTGAAAAATGCTCTTTACAATGTTTTTTTGTTTTTGTTTTTTTTAAGACCACCAGTAAAAAGTTACAGTAATGTTCAAGACAAGAATCAAGATCTTCTGCTTTTAAAATCACTTTCATGGTCATTTGATTGTCAAGTAAGCTGCCTGTGTTCTGTTGATCATCTAATTGATTAATCCCTTAATTGTTCCAGCACTAATCGCTGTAACAGCAAACAGTGAGGGATTACAAGAGTGACAGTAAACACATCAATAGCTCTGGTCCTTAAGAGCAAATTGAGCTGACAGTGAGATACATCTATTGGCTCCTGAGCAGAAAAATGGTGCGCAAAAAGCCGGCAAAGTGAAATGTTTCTACCATATTTTTACACATCCAAAGGTGATATATAAAAAGGAAAACAGCAGTATATCCTTACATTGTTTTTGATTAGGCACAACTTGTCATGTAGTACAACCTCATTTGACTACTGTGGACTTCAGAGACTTTGTTCATAAAGTGGTGTTACAGTTTTAGTGAGGTTGAATATTTTATAACGCAGTCCTCATTTAGCTGAACATAATGTTCAAGTTAACAAGGCAGAAACTTCCCCTTTTATCTCACGGTGGTAATCTGGTGCGGCTGGTTTTCCTCACACAGAAACCTGCCTCTTTCCACGGGGGACGCTCTGCCTGTGAGCTCCAGCACATGCTGTTCCCTAAATCTTTGTAGCAGCAGCGGTGCACTGATGTACAGTAGAAGTCTGATTCAGGCTTACACGAGGCATGTTCTGAGGATCTCATTGTCTTTCAACACCACGTCCCATCTTGCATCACCCTCCCCTCCTGTTTGGAAGCAGTCACATGTATCGTTGTGCAGAAAGATTCTGGGAATTTTTCCTCCTCTTTTGGAGGCTGCACTTTTGGATCCAACAATCTCAACAATGGTGCCTAGGGGACTGCGGCATCGCATCGCACGCAGCATCTGTCACACCGTGGCATAAGGATGGCGACTTGGCAAGCTGTGGATGTATGCATGTGTGTGCGTTGTGTATGAGGTAGAGGAACAGAGCCAGAACCTCCTCCCCCTTCCTCCTCCCCCCACATCCCTTTCCTCTCCTGAAGCTCTACCACCGGTCATGATGGTTGGGAAGGCAGGCATGTCTCTGGGCATGTGCAGACACGTCTGGGCAGGAGTCAAGCTCCCGCTCAACACTGCCTCCTCCTGTCCAACTGTCTGTCAGCCTGTCACTGGTGCGAGATAAGCAGAGTGAGAGGCTCAGATGTGGATGAACTTGGGCACCTTTGCCTTTGATGTCTTAATTTTTTATTTTTTTTACACTGCTGTTATTATACTTTATGTAACCTGACTAAACACGGTGCAGGCTCCCGACAGCAAGGCGCAGATAAAAGCTCTGGCCCGGCCCGATAATGGCAGGAAGAGAATGAATCGGAGCGTGGTGTCTGCAGCACAGTTCACCTCAGATGACTCTTCAGCAGCAGCAGAGTGCGTGTCTGTCTGGGAGTGGTGCGATGCCACACTGCCCCTGTTATAAATACTGTATCTGCCTCTCTCCGCATCGCCTGACCTCGCTTAACATCACTCAAGACCTCAATCGCCCCCAGTTCTACTCCACCCACAACAACCACCACCACCAATGCTCCTCCTCCCAGTTTTTGTTCAGTTATTTAGCTAATGGGTTGCATTTGCACTGTGTGCGTGGCTGTCATGAATCACGACATTACAGGCTTTTTTTTGTTGCACTCATCCATCTGTGTTGTCTTGCAGTGGGCAGTCAGAAAGTGTATTGGGGTTAAAAAAAAACTGTTTACTGGACCCTCAGCACACTCCATCCATCTCAATTGCAGCCTGTCACTAGATTTAATAGTCTCTGTGGAAGAAGTCACATCAAAGGCTACAGCTGCACAGCTTATGTATATATTCAACAGTGACTGTGCCACTGCATGCTGGGAAATATGTATGAGTAGAGTGGGTTGGTTCATATTGCCCCGATACTGGCATGTATTATGATTTAGGGACACTTTAAGCAAAAATCTAATCAAATACCTACCTAAATGTTGACATGTGGAATCATGTGCAGTTGGACAAAATGTTCCTGCTCTAAAAAGTTTTTAACTCTCTGAACTCCAAGCACACAGGGGGCTCATTTTTCACTGCAATATAAAGTCCTGCACCTCTATGGAAAGAGCACAACCATCACTAGCAGTAGAGAGAACTCAGAAATGTCTTGACATAAGTTTAAAAAACAAAACAAAACTGAAGTTAAATATCTTTGATTATTTATTATGCAAAAGTCGAAAAACCTGGAGTCAGCCTGTGCAACACGAGACAACAGCTGTTACCAATACTGTAATGAAAAGGTGACTCTACATACTATAGATGTTTTGCATCATACATTTTTAAATTGTTTCCATACTTGTCTCCTATCTGCTCACACAGCCTGCATTTTAGCTGAAAAGGCCCTGAATTTTTGTCTCATGACTGTTTGTTGCAGCTGAGTCATTAATTGCTTCACAGTTGCATCGAGGCATGCAGAATTGATTTCTTTTCTTTTTTTCTTTTTTACAGAATCTGGTTAGTCCAAGCAACCTGTTTTTGTTGAAGTTTTAAATGGGACATGTTGAATACAGTGTTATCAATGAAATATCAACATTATAAGCTTGGATTTGGTTCAGGTTCAGAGGAGTAGTAGTGAATAGTTCAAGGACTGTCGGAAAGTTGAAAACACAACAATTCTCTCTGTCTTACAGTGTCTGGTTTTGATAAATGGTGTGATTTGGGGGATTTTTATTTTTATTTTTTTAAATAACTGCCTTTCCAACCCGCCGGTAGCATTTTGGGGTCCACAGTGTCAACATTTGATAAAATTGTAGGTATGGTGTTTAATGTTATTGTATTTTTTTTGTTTGTTTTTGTGTTTCAGGCCAGAAGACATGTCTCCACCTCCACGGTGTGTTCCCTTACATCTACGTGCCATACGATGGCTATGCGCAGAAACCAGAACGATACCTGCGGCAGGTGGCCTTCAGCATCGACAGGGCCCTCAATGTTGCCATGGGAAACCCCTCCTCCAACGTCCAGCACGTCTTCAAGGTGGTCCTGGTCTCTGGCATGTAAGTGATTCATGACTGTTGGTCTTACCGACACAGTTCATCTGAGCTGTGCCTAAAATGGATACTGTGTTTTCACACGGGATTTCATACCCCGATTAAAATTCACTGAAATCCTTATGATGAATGATCAAGGTTTGCATGTTGATTACATTCTGTGTGCTCTTTTTCTTGTCTTGCAGGCCTTTTTATGGTTACCATGCCAAGGAGAAGCACTTTATGAAGATCTATCTGTACAATCCACAGATGGTCAAAAGGTAAGGTTACTGTGGATCGATGCAGTTTAATGTGAACAGGGATCATCCCGAGCTCCTGTTGTTTGATGTTTCTGAATGCCAGACAGTATGCGCATGACTCCGCCAGCTCACTAAACTGAAATCGATTGCTGCGTATTCAGTTGTTCGCATTGATTGGCTGAGTGTGTGTTTTGTGTGTGTGCGTGTGTGCACGGAAGCACACGGGAAGACTGTGAATTATTTGCCAGAGTGATCAGCGGTCGTGGTGACAATGTGAGCTACTGAATCGGTACTTGGCAAAGAGCAAGTGACTCAGAGAGAGAGGGGGAGGGAGAGCGATGGGAAGAGGCTGGAGGAGAGGATGATGTATAACTGAGAGAGTGGAGGGAGTGAGAGAGGTGTAGATGAGGCTAAAATCAGACTGAAAAGTGGCAAAGAATAAGCACAAGTAGGACAAAAAACTAATAAGTGAGAGATAAAAAGGCTTAGGGAAAGAGGAAATGAAGAAGGAAGAAGAGTGGAGTTGAAGAGGTTGAATGGCAGACCTGGCTGTCTTGAATCCCTCTTCAGCCTCTCGTCTCTGATCAGTCAGTCAGTCAGTCAGTCAGCACAGGGGCTCTGACCTTTAAAGGGGAAACATGACTCCAGGACAGACGTTAAACATTCACAAAGAGACCTGCTCCCCATTTATCTTTATCTGTCCAGCAAGTGCATCAAGTGTAAATATGAGGAAACAGGTCGTCCTTTTTTCTGTGTGGATACAGAACATAGTAGTAAGAGGAAAGACTACAATTAGAGATGTGATGATGCACTCCGTTTATTTAAATGTCATAGCTGTTTAATGTCTCATGTGGCTCAGAGAAGTTCTCTAAAGTTCCAATTGTAGCCAAATCAAACCGATAACAGGAGTCCTGTCGTAGGTACCTGTGGAAATCTTGATTAATAGAACAACAGATTTTACCCATTGATGTCTTTTGTTGTGCTGGACATGTGTGTATGTGAGATAAGGCCTTGTAATGTTTTATGTTCCTCACTGTAGCTTTCTTTTTTTTAACCATATAATGCAGAGTGACAGTGAGCTATATGCAGAGATTAAGTTACATCCAGGTAAATTTTAATGTCATTTCTCATAATGACAATTACGTTAAGCAGGAGGTTTGTGGGGCACTCACTGGATAGAGTTGGATGTTTGTTACTGAAGAGGTAATGACTTCTAAGAGTCTTTCTTAACTTCTGTAATGTGTTTCTTTATTCTCAACCAACCTCTGTGCTCTAGTCTCAACATTCTATCCTCAGGCCCAACGTGCAAAGCTGCCGTAGGTGCACAGAAGTACACGTGTGACTTAATTGTGTAGGCCTTTTAAATAGAGCACAACACAAAAAAATCAGTTTTGTCAAGTCAGAGAATGTACTCAACTGACACTTAATCGTCTCTGCTCAGACTTCCATAACTATGAATTCTTCACCAGACAGGGAGGATCTAAGGCTGTGTTTATAGTGCAGCCGAACAGCATGCAATAGAAGCACACCCCTCATTAATTTGAATGAAGCCAGATCATTAACTTCACAGGCAGCTCTGCCAAAAAAGGTCATCCGACAAAAATGTTAAACCTAACTCAACTTTCGCCAGAACACAAAACAGTGTCATCCGTGAAGGGCCTGTGTTGTCTGATTACATGTGTGCAAATGTTCATTCCTAGTGGATTACTTTGTAATATGAGCACTGCGTTTCTGTGGTTTGTCTACATTCTAGCTTTTCAACGAGTCAAACCCTGTTTTAGAGTGTTAGAAATCTCTGTGTAGTGTGTTGGCGTCTAATAAATCTTCAGACTCGTGGGTCTGTTACTCCAACACAATTTCCTGGATCCTATTTGTCTTACCTGAAGCTTCACCCCTCCACCAACATATTGCCTCGCAGTTTTCAGTCTGAACTGCTGCTAACGTTTGGTTCACACATACTGATCTGTGGCAGACTTGAGCACTCAGTTTTTATAGCTGTTTTTGGTTAGTTGTACCAGAACACAGCGAGACCATTCATTTCCTGGTGATGTGTTGCCATGCATTGGTTTTGTTATTCAAGTTGCTTCACAGAGAATTAGGAAACCGATTAATGCAGTGATCAAAAGGAGCACGGTTGATTGTGATTGTGCAGGACAGTTGTAAAATGCAGTGCTTTCAGAGTCTTGGACTCATGGTGGAATATACTAGCATGTTTTTTTAGGATTAATTTACATAAGGTGTCTGCAGATATGAGACACATGACATCTACACCTCTGCTGCAAATTTGTCTTTCTCAGCTTCATCTAAATGCAATACTTTCCTTCTCTATGTTTGATGTAGAGAAAGAACAATTGTTACCCACAAATGATTAACGTCCTCTGTTGAGACCATTCATAATTCACTGACACAACAGCCAACTTGTAGCAGCCAAACCTTTTGGCTTTCAAAGGGAGACCACCTCCTATATTCTCAACGAGGTGTGATCAAAAAGTTCAGAGACTGTGCATACCAAAAGCAAAAGTTGTACCTCATTTAAATGTGGCTGCTATCGTTTTTTTAATTAGTCTTCTTGTGCAGCGGTACACTACTTGCAGTGCTCCTTCCATATTTGAAACGGTTCTGGAAGTTCTGTTCTGTTGGGTGCCGCTATAGCTCACCTGGTTGAGCTGGCTTCCCATGTACAAGGGTTATAGCGGAGGTCGTGGGTTATAACAGTTGGACACTGGGAATACATACACAGTGTACAACCCTGTGAGTGTCACACAAAGAGACGAGCATTCTCTTGGTTGTGTTGCTGACCTGATGTGCCTTCTTTAGCCTTGGACACCACAGGCTTTACCACTGAAAACTGCTGTTAATTCTCTGGGCTGTAGCCAGAGACCCAACTCCTGTCACCAGTGATGTTCCTTGAGATTAAGGTTGATTCAGACATGGAATTTAGTAGAATTGCAAATATGCACCTGCAAGTGGCCAGAATGGGACTTCCAGAGAGCGTTTCAGATGTGGCAGGAGCACTGGGAGCCATGTAGCACTGCACAAGGTCACCACTTCAAAGGGGGTAGTGGTCAGGTGCAATTTTTGCTTTTTATAGACACAGTCTTAGAACATCTTGATCGCACCTCATTCACCGAAAATGGCCTCTTTGTGTGGAACTGAAGGAAAATTCAAGTAATTATCTGTAGTCACTTACGTGTCTTTCCATTATACTTGATGTGGCTGACATTTTACGGAGCCGTCTTTGTTTGTTGCAGAGTGTGTGAGCTGTTACAAAGTGGTGCAGTGATGAACAAGATTTACCAGCCTCACGAAGGCCACATCCCCTACCTGCTGCAGCTCTTCATAGACTACAACCTGTACGGCATGAACCTGGTTAACCTGGGTGCTGTCAAGTTCCGCAGGAGTCACAACAAAGGTAAGTTATAGAGAAGGAGAGGTCACAATTTATCACCCCTCATCTAAGGGATTTACTTTCATTTTCTTGTTTACTTTCCTTTTTTGGCAGGTTTGCTTTGTTTTTCCTTTTTCCTTCGAGCTGCAAACTGCTTTGATATAATTTTTATTTTAACATTTGATTACAAAGCTTACATATAAACAAAATCATACTCAGAAAAAAAAAAGCTATGAATTAAATCTGACATTTGCTCTCACCTCCTACCCTCTCTCTGTTTAGGACAGTTCTTAGTCCACACATATGTTGAGCCCCCCTCTGCTGTCTCATCAGCTTTAGGACGCAGAATGCACTGCTGTTTTTTGTCTCTGCTGGACAGTTGGCAGAGCTGGGTTTCTTACTGTTCACTTCATTGTTACCCTGTGGCACAGCAGGGATGGAGAGCAGGCCAGGGAAGGCTGCCATGCCTTGTGTCATATCGGATCAGTCCTGATCTCACCTCTGCCTCAGGATGCCTCTGTCTTTTCAAAGCTCTCTCTGTTCTCATCTCTAATGTTGCCTTCTCGCTTCTCTTCACATGTTTGTCTTGTGGTCTTGGCTATTTTCTCTCTTTCTCGCTCTTTGTACTTGCTTCCTCTGACCTCTTTGCAGCTTCTCACCAAGGAGGAAAAAGTAAAATGTAGTGGAAGCACACCCTCTCCTGACAATAATTTAGGAAGCTTTTACAGAAATAGGAAATTGGTGAAAAGACTGAATCAAAAGGTGTGAAGGCAGAACAGGCAAGCAGATATTGGGTGTCGGCAGCAGGCACTTTGCAGTCTCCAGACTCTCTCGCTCGTGTTTGCCTGAGCTCCCTGTAGCCGAGTCCTTTGGAGCTCTGTAAACTCTGCAGAGTGACAGTCCACAGACTTGCTGCATCTTTTCCAGGTTTTGCCTTCAAACACTCTGATTTATAAGGCTTCCACACACCAAAAACTGCATGTGACAGTTTATAGAATGTAAACAAAACACAGGGAATACTTGTCAGCTTTTCTTTGTCTAAGTTTAGCAACTTTGCAAGCAGCTTTATAAAAATAAATTGTCGTCTTCCCAGTAGAATCACAAGAAATAATAATACTCTATTCTTGGCTACTTTGTGTAACTGGTTACCTCACAGTTTCCTACTTACACATCCAGCTGATAGGGAGCAACATTAGTATTCATTTGGAGTTGTGTTGTAGGCAACCTGACAGTGCAAAACCAACATTCCTTATTTTTAGCTGGTTTCCCAAGCTCCCAGTGAAACCATCTTCTTCTTTAACTGTAAAACGCTGCACTATTTTTGACTAGCTTGTCATTAACTTTGTCTGTTCGGTGCTCAGCATGTACAGTGATCCTTAGTAGCTTACTGATGTGGCTGGAAACTAGTTTACTGGGAGTAGTGTGAGTTTGCTTTTCTAAAAGAAGCAGAAATGTTGACAGAGCTTAGTGGGTTTGACACAAAGTGTGACTCCTCTTACATTACCCAGACTCCGGACTAACTTTTTATATTGGTTATACTGTTGCGCCTGTGTTTCTAATTTTAATACACTAGCACATAATTTAGGTGCCAGGTGGCTAGCTAATGTACATATATACAGATATTCCTCTGTAACTGACAGTACAGAAAAAGCTGTTTCTCACCAAGTTTGCTGCTGCAGCAGGGAGCTATAAAAATGCCCCCTATACCGTTGTGTCTTTGGCATTTTGACAACTTTCCTTTGTTCTGCTTGTACTTGGCCCACAGATCTTCGAAATAAACACAACTCGCACAACTTTCGTGAAATTAGGGCTATCTTAATTTGGACTTTAGTGTTTGGACTTTAGTGTTCGTCAGCATTGTCAGCTTTCATCCAGCTACAGTGAGCCGGTTGAATATCTCTGCACTTATTTTGAAATGTGTCCTAGCTCCTGAAAAGAGGCTGTTTGGACCTGAGGCAGTGAACCCAGCAGTCACTTGGGCCTCAGTGGGAGTGTCATACGGAGGGTTTCCTCCTTAGATCTTTGCTAAACCTGACTCTCACAAACCCAACTCCTCTTCCCCCTGATGGAGACTAAACCCCTGATTGCCAACTCTGTTTGATCACAGCTTAGTTCTAACCTCGGACCAGTACCCCTGCTCATCATGCCCGATCACACCTCTCACCGTACTCCCAGAGAGCGCCCCGCCTAGCAGGACCTCCTTTACATGTGAGGGCATTAATGATTCAAGACAGGAAATTCCACACTTGAATTTAATAAAGTTCTTTTATAAAAATCCTCACGCCTGACTCACCTCCGACAAAAGCAGGGTTCCCATGTTTGATCCACCTCTACACTGATGCAATCAATGGAAAGAAGGCTCGAGTGCCCCTTTCAACAAAGAAACCAAAATACCCCAATAATAGGTACACCTGTTTACATTTTCTTCCCCTCTTGAGCTCTAACTTGAAAGGAGGTTCTTAATCTGGGATCAAGTGGAAGAGTGATAAAAGAGGTTGGGCGGGTAAAGTGGGCCAGTTTAAGATGAATGGAAACCTTAATGTGTTTCGAAGTCCATTTCACAGCTTGAACACTCACCTCCTAAATACTGAGGTTGCAAAGTGTCAAAAATCCTAAAAGAAATATCCTTGAAATTTCTCCTTGTGACAAAATGATGGGGTTTTATTCTACACACTGATGCTACGTAGTTCCCTACATATTTTTAAAAGATAATTATGGTTAATTGCAACTGGATTTAGTTTTTGACGTCCGTACCAGCAATAGCAGCATCAAACTGTCCAGGTGGATTGCTTAAAACTGACTGGTTTAACCGGACAAGATCTGTGAGTGGTCACTGAGTCAAGCTGTAAATGAACACCCCTGTTTATCCAAATGTATTTGGAAGAAAAAACATTGTCAAACAGTAAAATTATTACCAACTGTCTGGTGTAAACACTCAGCACAGTTTACAGTCCAACTTGCTGGTTCAACTTTGATCTGCGGTATTTGGCTTAGGTTTGGGTGCATGCAGTTTATATCAACATTTTAGGTGAGCTCATTTTTGGTTTTCCTCCAATTAAAGTTGTTTAGATGTTGGAGCAATGTCCCAGGTCTTTTTAATACGATTATCACTTACAGAAATAATGGCCAATACTGCATAACTTAGATCCATTATGCATTAAATTTTTCTGTTCTGACAAGCAAAATAGATGAGGTGGCTCATCAATTCATTTCACTTCCAAATAATTGTAAGTGGAATATCACTTTTTTTTTTTTTTTTTAACCTTGGAAGCAATCATTTGAGGAAAAAAAAAAAAGATATAATCTGGAAAAACACCTGGTGGTCTGCCTCAGTAGGTCGCTTCGTTGCCATTTTGTGACCCAACGTCGTGGCTATACTGATTACGTATGACGACCGATTGTGGACGGGATGTACCGCAGGAATGTAATTTGATGGCTACACCGCATGTACTGCATGGGATTGTGGCAAAACAAGATTGGATTAGATGATCATTTGTTAATCCCACAGTGAGAAAAGTTGCTATGTTCCAGCAGCAAGGGGATTGTGCAAAAGTCTAAGGGACAGAAGTAAAAACAAACCCCCCCCCCCCCCAAAAAAAAAAGAAAAAAAAGAAAAGAAAGATCATGATAAACTAGATGGCATGCTTTTATTTTGTTATTCTCAGCGCTGTGAAACTTCAAGCTTTGCACTGAGTTTGTATAATATGGATAAGTTAATATCTGCAGAGTACAGTAGACTCTGTAGGAGATTAAGTTACAAAGCAACCATCAGTAGGTACAGGCAAAATGCATGTCAGCAAGATGGTCACGGCTGAAGTGGAAGCCCTGTTTAATATAAAGCAGTCACTTCCTGCTTATGGGTAGATTAAAGAAAAAAAAATGCACCTATAGACACTTTTATAATATAATTTATATAATATAGGCACTTTATGACCCATTTCTGTGTTAAAGAGCTGTACTTACCTCATGTAAAAAACAAAAAAAAGAAGCCTGATCTATTTTTACATTTGTGGCCTGGATCTCACATGCCTGATGTAGCCACTGTCATTAAGTATAATGGAGGTGTAGTAATGCATTAGCCACTCCGTGAAAGGTCTGCACATGTTACAGTATAGCCACAGCATCAGTCTGGTTTGCAGAAATCAACACTTTAAAATCTCTCATGGTGCACAGTGGAGTATGACATTATCAACAAGCGTTGGGGAACACTCTCTGTGAAGTAGGGAGGACTTACGACTGGAAAAATCAAATAAACACTGGAAAATCAAGGGCGCATTCCAATAATCATACTACCATAGCATATAGTACGCCAGAAAAAGATTTAGTATGTCCCAATACACAGTATGTCGAATGCACTTTGCCAAAAACATCAGAATATCCTACTGCATCCAGTTTTATTTTGCAGTATGCAAGCCTGCATGCTTTTCTGGTCATTCTAACCCACAATCCTCTGCACAATGGAAGATATGTCACATATGAGTAACAAACAAAACTTCACACTGTAACGGATCTACGAGCCAGATGGTCAAGGCACAATATTATGATGAAGTGGTATTTGCACATGTGTGTACACTGCATACAACTTTGCCCTACTTTGTATGGGCAGCTGTAGTTCATACTGAAAGGAAACAGACAAAGTATGCTGTTTAGAATGCAGGGCAGCTGTCAGTGAACACCAGACCATAACAAGCATCTACTGGACAGAAGTCAGAGGTCATCGAATTTGAGTGAGTGGATAACTAGTACAAGATCATGGAGGAAAATCACCTCTGACACAAGAGATTCTTCGCCTTCTGCTGTCACATGTATTTGGCCAGTTGCTATAGCGTGACCATTTCTCACATACTCAAGTCACATGATGATAACTGAAGTGACACCGTAAAAACTTAACCAACGACTCCTTTCCTTTAGTAGTGAACAGATTCAGAGAACGCTACATTAAGATTAGTCAATAAACTTTGACTTGATTTTTGAGCCTTGTTTCTAAGGTCAAGAATAAACTTTAATTCTGAGTCCCAAGGTGGTTTGCCTCTGTATTTATTGGAAGTGAATATCCCCATGTAAACATGCTTCAAATATTCGCTCTCATTTTAGTCACATAACCCTCTGAATTTAACATTTCTGCCTGTGAAAAGCAAGTGACAAATCTACTTTATTTTTACTCGACTGTGGAAAATCCAGACAAAGGCCCGTTGACAGATTCCCTTACTGAAGCACTACAGTATGCTGCCATTCATTTAGTTTTGTGTGTCTGTGCCTTTTCCAGAAGAAGAAGAAGCAGCAGCAGCAGCAGCAGCAGCAGCAGCAGCCGCCCCAGAAAAACCAACAGCCTCCAGCAGTCGACCCAGCATCAGCCCCTGGAAGAGCCCCTGTACCTCCAAGCTCAATGACAGCACCCTGGGGGGCACATTTGTCCGCTGGGAGGAGAACGCCATACCCTGGTGAGTCCCACCTGCAGACCCTGCTAAGTCTATGTGAATGCTCTCTGACAGTAGAAGCTAAATTCAGTGTTTATGCTCGGTGTCCATCATGCTTCATGGGATAATTCTCTTTTTCTTATTTCGTAAAGAATTTTGTTTTCCTGCTCTTAGCAATTTTCCGTCTCCTTGTGTGATAGCTGTTATCAGTTTATGTTATTCATTTGTGTATTAGGTTTAGTTGCAGATTGTTGAATGCTGACAAATATGTGGATTTTTCTTTTGATTCGCTGTCTGCAGCTCTTTAGTTCTGGACGAGGTGCAGAAGCAGAGCACCTGCGAGCTGGAGGTCGATGCCGTAGCTGTAGACGTCCTCAACCGCCTTGAGATCGAAAGTAGGTTCTCTCAGGACATCGTATTCACCCGCTGCACCTTTCCTCTAACCAGTGTTGTTGCCAGCACCGGCACAAATGTAATAACACAACAGGGGAGAGGAAGTAAAGTGAAAAGAAAGATGCAGCACATTTAGCTCAGATGACTGATTGGACACTGCTGCTCAGACCTCCTCCCTCCGACTGCCTCCGCACATCAAATCCATTAGCAGCCCCAAACATAAACACTGTGGAGCTGACCTAACACCTCCTGTCACAGGGGAGCAGAGAGGGGAAGAGATTAGCAGAGATGAGGGATTCCACGATGGAGGGATGAAACTGAGCGAGGCCAATAAAGCAGATGGTGTCGTCTGATTTAGCCGTGTACCCCCAAGAGCAGATGCAACTATTGCTTCTGTTTGCTTTTCCATCTTTGTATTCAAGTGTGCTTCAACCTCAGACATCTGGATTTGTTTTTGTTTTAGAGTGTGAAGAGAAAGGAAACAGGAAGCCCATCCTTGTACTTGCGGAGGTGAAAACAAAACAGTTGGATGGGAGGAGGAAGTGGAGTCACCATATGTTGATAAAAGCTAAACTGGGTGTGGGTTTTGATTAAAAAAAATACACCCATCTTTTTGGTTATCTCCTCTCTAACTGGGATGCCAAAGTCCATACCAAGAGTCAGACTTAACCACGCTGTTGAACAAACATAAGTTTGAGTCGTCTTTTTTTGAAGCCAGTGACAAACTCAGTGTAAACTCGAGGGAGCAGTTTACTGCCTGATTTCTTGGTTTTAAAATCAAACATTATTCCAGTGGATAAATTCTCACTGGTATTTGAAGCCACATGTGTGCAGGATTTGTTGGTGGAGCTTTAAAAGAGCAGTTCAGTAAACATGTCCTTGTTAGGAGGAGAGCTTCAGGTTACCCCGGTAGTGCCTGTTTTGTGGGATGTTGTGTTATTGCGTTAAAGACAGCAGTTGCATCAGGGCTCCAAGTGTACGACGTTTCCTTATGATTTACATCAGACCGGACTGAGAAGCGTAAACCACTCCAAGAATCTGTGTTAGAGTGAGGAAAGGAAAGGAGAGGCCACTCCAGGGCAGGCGATACATGTGTTCTGACTCATACTTTTCCATCTGCTGTTAAAACTGTACTTTTCAAAATAGACCTACAGCATATATGTGCTCAAGTTTGTCAGCTTGAGTTCCGATGTCGGTTTAATTGGCCCGTGCAGCTTGACATAAAAACTGTCTTTGTTAGAACCCCCCTTAAAAAGACAGTAAAAACTGTGATGGTATTATGAGCTGACACTATGTGGGCTGCGATTTTCCTTTGTGTCCAGATCAGATTGGCAGGAACCCCGGCCTGCAGGCCATCTGGGAGGACGAGAAGCAGAGGAGGAGAGGGAAGAACCAGAACTCTCAGATAGAAACCCCCGAGTCACAAGGTGAGTACAGCAGCGAAAGAAACTCTGAAGTGTCATCTCTGTTCAAGCTTTTATGTCTTTTTTTCTCCCTCTGTTCGTAACATAGAGGCTCAAGGAGTTCCTTTACTTTGCGTTTTGGGTCCTTTTTGTGGCCTAATTTCACAGTGTGCTGGCAAAAGTATTGTCATTAGACTGTAAAGGTTTCAGTCAAAATAAACCGTGTGTGTTCGAGGTAATGAGAGGACATGCCACTAAGAGCAACAATGTGGCTCATTGATGTGATTTAATAGTTTTTGGGCAATAAAGGAGCTCTGTGGCACCAGAGAATGAGATCTGTCAGGCTTTAGATACACACATGTGACTTGTTATGAGCAGAGTTACTGTTAGTTTGGGGTTTTTTCACACTATCAGTCAACAATAATAAAAATACAGAATATCACAAGACTTATCTGTTCCTATTCATACTAACATTGTATTCACCAAGTTAATAATAATTAATTGCTAATGTAATCAAGTCACCCTAACCTCAACACAGTTTATCTTATATCTTACTCAGAGGACTTCACATATTCCATATTGTGTCTAAGCTTCTCCCTGTCAAACGTTAGCCATTAAACCTCAAGCAGTTTCTGGGAATATTGTGCTTATGTCTTATTTTCATTCACTGTGAGCTCATTTTTTACTGCAATATAAATCCTGCACCTCTATGCAAACA